GCAGAGCCACTAGGGAGTGGGGTGAGCAGCCAGCATGCTGGTTAGGTCTGAGCGTGTAACACTGCCCAGCAGGCCTTACCATGTAGACATAGGTGCACGGAGCGGGGGTCAAAGGGTAAGATGCTCATAGATGGTCCGACTGCAGCCGTGGAAGGGAGGCAGGCAGTGTATGTGGTGAGAGCCCACGAGGGCATCCCTACGGAAAGACCACCAGAGGTGAGAAGCATTCAGAAGGTGGGAAGAGGAGGCAGAAGTCTGCAGGCAGAGGCATATGCGAACTCCCTGTGGCTAGAAGGTGGCACCGTGGCAGTAAGGGGTAGAGAGGCAGCCAAGGCTGAAGCACCGGGTGAGGTGAGGGGACAGTTCAGCGGTGGTCATGCTGGGGAGGGGGTTGTTGTCAGTAGAAGGGGAGTGGAAAGCCATTGAAGGGTGTCCAGCAGGAGGGTGACCTGGTCAAATGTGCATTTTCAGTCGCTGTCCCTTGCCAGGGTGTTGGAAGCAGCTGGCGCTGGCCCGGGAGACCAGCGAGGAAGCTGTTGAACGGTGGGGGGAAGAGAAGAGCTGGAGAGAGCAGGTGGGTGGGAGATTTGGGAGGCACAAGAGGACCTCGGCGAGGAGTTGGATGTGAGGAAGGTGCCCATCCTAAAGCCCGGTGAAGAGCAAGCATGCCAAGTGCTGTGGCCCCGTGGAACCTGGGCATGGCAGGCAAGGGGCCAATCTAGGGATCTTTCCTCTTCCCTCTTGCCCCCGGGCCCCTGAGTCTTGTTCAGAGACCTAGTTCTCCCATCATTGACCTGTGGCCTCCCTCCCCAGCTGTTTCTTCTTACCCTCTCCATCTTCCTGGGGCTGGGCCAGCCAAGAAACCCCAAAGGCAAGAGGAAGGGACAAGGGCGGCCTGGAACCCTGACCCCTGGGCCTCACCAGGCGCCCCTGGACCTGGTGTCGTGGGCACAGCCGTTCACCCGCATGGAGGAGTATGAGAGGAACCTGCGGGAGATGGTGGCCCAGCTGAGGAACAGCTCGGAGCCGGCCAGGAAGAAGTGTGAGGTCAACCTGCAGCTGTGGCTCTCCAATAAGAGGAGCCTGTCACCCTGGGGTTACAGGTAGGCTGGGCTGGGTGGCAGGGGGGAAGCTGGGTTTTTTGGCGGGTCGGGTGGGGAGGGCACCTTATCGTCTCAGTCATTGTGACTGTTAAAACTTTGGATTAATTGGAGCTTGACTAGGTTTGACTCCCGAGTCTGCCCTTTACCAAGGAGGGACTACTAATGCTTAGGTCACGGGTTTATTGCCAAATGAGATCTCCGTGTGGTGCAGTCCAGCTCCTGCGGGGACTTGTCCGTGGGGTAGTAAGTTGGATGCCGATGTCTGTCTTTCACACGAGACTTCCCACTGCACCAGCTTCAGCGCCCACCAAACCAAACTCATTGACATCAAGTCGGTGCCGACTCGCAGAGACTCATGACACAGGACAGTTAGAACTGCCCCTGTGCATTTCTGAGACCATAACTCTATGGAAGCAGAAAGCCCTGTCTTTCTGCCGTGGAGCGGCTGGTGGTTTTGACCTGTTGACCTTGTGATTAGCAGCCCAACAGGTCATGACTACGCCACCAGGGCTCCTTTCCAGGAACCTTTAAAATCCAGATCTGGGTGGAAGCCCAGGAGGCAGGAGTCTATGTATCACCACAGATTCAAACACACCAGCTAGTTTAGGAATCAGGGCCAGGGCTCCCAGGTGGCAGAGCTACTAAACATC